TTTTTAGCTGAACTAGGGATTGAACTCAGGCCCTTGCGCTTGCCAGGGAAGTGCTTGTTCTACTGAGCCATCTCCCCGGCCCCTATTTGTATATATATTTTTGAGGGTTTTGTTTCTGTTTTCAAACACAGTCTTGCTCAGTACTTGAAGGTGGCCCTCAGCTCGCTATGTAGCCCAGTTTGGCCTTGAACTGACAGAGATCCTCCTGCTTCAGGCTCCCAAGAGCTGGGATTACAGGCGTGCACCACCATGCCTGTCACCAAAATAAGAGTTTCAGAAATAATACCTTGAAATAGTCAAGCAGAAAAATTTCCTTACATTAGCCCCTCAGACTTATACTGTTTAAGGATGTTTAGGTACCTACATTTTTTTTTCTTGAGATTTAAATGAAAACTTTTCTGAGACTGTGCATGTTGGCGCGTGCCTAAAATCCCAGTGCTTGGGAGGCTGAAAACAGAATCACTACAAGTCCAAGCCATGTAGTAAGGGTGCCAGGGAGATGGCTCAGTGGAATAAGTGCTTCCCTGGCAGTGCAAGGGCCTAAGTTCAATCCCTGGCTCCACCAAAAAAAAAAAAAAAAATCCCAACCAAGCCATGTAGTGACCTGTAGACCCTGTGCTAAATACATTTTAAAAAAAAAGAAATAAAACTTTTCTGGTTTGTCTAAAAGATGATGATATTGGAACAGTGGCTAAAGACTAACATTTAGTTTATATTTTATTCTAATGCAGATTTTGTATAGAGAGCCCATAATGTTATAACTTTCTAATTAAAATGTTCAAAATAGAAGGTTGTCTGTGCTTTCTGTTCCAGTGGAAGAGGGCTTGGAGGGGGCAGGACGGGGAGGGCAGCGGTTGCGCACACTTCTCCGAGTTACTCACCAGCAGCCGGCCTCTGCCAAGGCGCCGCCAAGGACCTTAGAGCTTTTGTCAGCTCCCTGGCAGACGTCCCCTGGTCCAGCCCCAAGTAAATGAGTTTTCAGCGGAATCCACAAAGCACGTGGGAGCTGCAGCCTGGAAAGTTACAGCTGTGTCTAGTGAACGTCAATTATTTTCGGATCAGAGTCTGATAGCTTCTGAACCTAAACCACACAGAGTTGCAAGAGGAAAAAAAGGTGAGAAAAACACAGGACTGCGGCCACGGAATTGTAACCCAAGACTAAGTCAGGGTTTGAGGTAATTATTCAGTGTTGGCGTTGGGGCTTGATGGGAAATTTCCTAGGTTTGTCCAGCTTCTGCTTGAATCAGGTGAGGCTGTGGACACCCCGCTTAGCTTCCATTGAGCAAGACTAATAAAACTTGCTTTTCTTCTCTCCCACTTTCCTCCTCCCTTCCTCTCTTGCTCTTCATGTTTAGATCTATTTTTGTTAAGTGATACTCAGAACTGAACTCAAAATCTTCACACTGAACTACATCCCCAGCCTTTTTAAATTTGTTTTTATTTTGAGTTGAGGTAAGATCAAGCTAAGTGGCTAAACGGCCCAGGCTGGTCTCTAACTTGGAATCCTCCTGCCTCTGCCTTCCAGGGTGCTGGGATGACCAGCCCGCCCCACTGCTCCCCACCCCAAGGTTAAGGATTTTAAATCACCCGGCAAACCCAGTCAGGAAAGACTGCACCAATTTTCACTCCCGGTAGTGGGAAGTTTCAGATCCCAGCGCCGAATTACAAGGTCCATCCTCTCCGCACGCCTGAGTCCCGCCCTGTCATTCGTAAGGGGTCCAAGTTTTCTGTTTTATGCATTGAATCTTATTCTGTATTTATCCAGACCTGCCATCAAGCTACACCTCTGGGTAGGTGCTAGCGCCGGGAGGGGACGGGAAGAGGGGCAACAGCTGCGGCGCTGCTCTGAGAGCACCTGGTCTCGAGGCCGCTGCCCCTCGGCTGCTGCGCCGGAGGCGGCGCAGGTCCCTGGGCATCCAGGTGCCTGCGTAGGGGCCGAGGCTTGAGGACTTGGGGCGCAGCTGGCATTCCAGTCTCTGCGCGGAGGATGCCACCACGAGCGAGGAGGGGCAAGCCTAAGACTCAGTTCCCGCACAAGGACCTTTTGTCCTCCCAGGGGCGTCTCCTCCGGGGAGTGAAGGGGGGCACAGCTAGTGGCCAGTCCGGGGGAGAAGGTGCGGCCCGCTTCCCCGAGCCCACCTGGATCTTTCTCGGGACCCTCCGCACCCGCCTGCGCACCCCTTCCCGAGGCACGGCCCAGCCGTGGGCCGGGAGGGAGCGGAGCCGGGTCGAGCGAAGCAGCTGCTTCCTTCCTGCGCGGGTTCCCGCAGCCGGCGGGACTGAAGCCTGGCCCGGAGCGGACCGGGTGGAGCGCGCAGGTAGAGCGGGGCGCAGGCGGCGGGGACAGGGGCTGCTCTGGGCGCAGCCCAGGACACAGCCCCCAAGGCGCGACTTGAGGGCGCCTCCTCCGGGGGTCTCCTTGGCCTGGGGTGTCCCTGAGTCTCCGACGTCTTGGCATTCGCGCCCAGCCACTTACGGTCACCACCGTGTCACCGCTGCCCCGTCAGTCACGGGAACTAAGGACAAAATCGACCCCTGCGGGTCTTCCAGGGAAGAGAAGGAGCTTGTCATGGGGAGAGTGGAGCTTGGAAGGCGCGGAGCTCCGAGAATCCACGCCCGGGTCCTGCTCGGTGGGCGCACGGAGAGGCTGCACCTCCTGCAGGGGGCGCGGAACCCGCGGACACAGGCTAGCAAGACCGTCCCGGTGTGATGTGGGTGGGGGGCGCGTCTCCGCGGGGCGTCGTGCTTGTGGGATGCCTTATCTCTAGAAACTTCATTTTTCAAAAGGCAAGGCTTCCCAAAGTTCCCCGCCTGCCCCACAGAACTGTGGACGAAAGGTCCTTGCACTTGCCATGTGAGCGCTTATTCTACTGAGCTATCTCCTGGGCCCCTGATGAGAGTTCGAAAACCAGACACAAATGAATGCGGAGTCCTGGCAGCCAAGCTTCTGGCTGCGTGAGGTTGGGCAGCTGGTTAAGCCTCTGGGCCTCGATGTGTATTGACTCTCCTTTCTCTGCCTCCAAAATGAAGTTTAATCCTTTTGTGACTTCCGACTGAAGCAAAAACCGTAAAAGGCATTTCAATGCGCCTTCCCACATTCGCAGGAAAATTATGTCTTCTTCTCCTCTTTCCAAAGAGCTGAGACAGAAATATAACGTTTGTTCTATGCCTGTCCGAAAGGATGATGAAGTTCAGGTTGTGCGAGGACACTATTAAAGGTCAGCAGATTGGCAAAGTAGTTCAGGTTTACAGGAAGAAGTATGTCATCTACATTGAACGGGTGCAGCAGGAAAAGGCAAATGGCACATCTGTCCACGTGGGCATTCACCCGAGTAAGTGGTTATCATCAGGCTAAAAGTAGACAAAAACCGCAAAAAGATCCTGGAAGGGAAAGTCAAGTCTCTCCAAGTAGGATAGGAAAAGGGAAAATACAAGGGCGAAACGATTGAGAAGATGCAGGAATAAAGTCCTCCTGTGTGTAACTTTTAATTAAAAATGCTAAAAAAAAAAAAAAATCAAGAGAGTCGGGCTTAACCCAAAAAGATCCCATTTCTATGAATGAAAAGGGCTGAGAGGGATAGGACAGCCCTGGAGTGCTTTGCCTAGCATGTGCCAGGTCTTGAGTCAAAGAACCCAAGAGCAAGACAGGCTTAGGTGACCTAAAGCCATAAAATGACTGAGTCACCTGCCAGGGCCACCAGGAAGAATAGGCTGTGGTGGCCTTACGCTGCGCCACCCACCTGGTGTGGGTATTTCTACAGCCTCAGCAGGCAAAACTGAGGCCCAGAGCGTTGGAGGGACTGGCTCCAAGTCACACAGCACACTAGATGTGGAGACAGGATTCGAAGACAGCCTCTTATTCCCACTGTCTTCTCTATGTGCCTGGTACCTTCTGCTGCCAGGGGCATGATCCCGGCAGAATCAGGTAGACCTGTGACTTGGGATTTTCTTTATTCCTGAACCAATAACTTACATCAGTGTCAGGCTTTGTTCAAAGCTATTTACTACAAATATTAACACACTCGGTCTTCAAACCAAGCCCATGAACTGAGTTATATTTCCCCACAGGTTAATTAAGCAACTTGCCCAAGTTCACACAAAATGATCAAATGAGGCTTACACCCACGACCACGATGCCGTTCCTATCCCCTCTGATGAGACGGACAGGGGCAGGGCTGCTTTTAGTCTCACAGGTAGTCATAGTTACAGAAAATCATGGACAGCTATGATAACAGCATTCAGTACCACCTAATACTCAGTCTGCACTGAAATTTCTCTGATTATCTTCACAATGTCTTCATGCAGTATCTGCAAATAGCACTAAGCAGTTCTGTGTTTTAAGTTGTTTTCTTCTAAAATAATCTCTTTTTCTGTCAGCATGATTTACTTTTAAAGTATAATTAAAAGTACGGGGTTAGCAAGATAAAGCAGAGAACATTCTAGATTGTCCCTGTATTTTTTTTTTTTTTTTTTCAGAACCAAGGATGAACTCAGGCCCTTGTGCTTGCCAGGGAAGTGTTTATTCCACTGAGCCATCTCCCCGGGCCCCCATGTCCCTGTAATATGAGAGCTTCATCAGTACCTAGGGCAACCCGGGAATGTGCTAAACACACAGTCCCTGACTTTTATCCTATGCGTTGCTACCAAGTTTCATGCCCTCCCACCTAGGAGTCCATGACTTATACCACACTTTGAAAATCCCTGAGATATTAGGATACATATCCTTCTCCTAGTAGGTCATAGAAGCTAGAATTTCTCTTCCCCAAAGCAAGTAATAGAAATATTCCTTTTCTGTGTACCTTGAATCCACTGGCTGTAATGAAATTGGTTGACCTACATTATCTGATAAATTATAGCACCCCTATTCCAGCAGGAGTCCTGCTCCATACCCT